ATATCCAAAACCAGTGTTAGTCACTTAAAAACCCGGTCTCTTCCAAGACTAGAGTTATGTGCGACGTTACTTTTAACTAACCTCTAATTATATTGTGTGCATAGAGCTACCAGTCAACAACACTTAAGTTTATTGTCATAGAGCTGCCAGTCAACAACACTTAAGCGTGAAGAGACTGGCAGGTTACACTGGCATGGGTTTCGTCCGAGCCTCGCCGTTAACTACCTTTTATTGCAAATCGAGTTGTGAAGAGTCAGGAAGTTGTTCTAAGTGTTCGATGTAAGTATGTAGCTGGAAAAGATAATCAAGCGGATTGTGAGACCAGAGGTTATATTATCAGAATGCACGTTATGGGGAAAGGGCCCACAGTGGTTCAAATAACCTATAATTCGTGTGCAGCAAGATTTAAATGTAGAGTTAGATCACAAGGTGAAGGGTTATTAAGGAAAATGAAAAAGAGTTTTATTTCAAATGTTTCTAAACTGGAAGAACTTAGTGTATTTCCTAACTTTCATCGTGGTTAAAGCTATATAGAATGTTAGTGTAGTGTTCAAGATTAAAAAATAATTGTAGTTAGTTACCCACAGAGTTATTTATCTACTCAAGAGCTTCGTGAAATTACTTTGATGATTATTAAGATTGTACAAAGATCTGAATTTTCAGAAGAATTATTCTGTTTAAAATCGAGTAGACCTTTAATACGTCAACCAAGCTTTTGTCTTTAAATCCTTTCTTAAATTTCACAGGGATAATGTGTGTAGACGAAAGGTTCAAAAACGCTACAGTTTCAGATAATCATAAACATCCTATGCTTGTGCCTAAGAATCATAATATTACGCATTTGATTGTTAAGCATTATCATAAAACGTATCTTCACGTAGGTATTCAACTATTCATTTATGTCATACGCCATGGATTCTGGATTGTGGGTGCTAAAGATTTTAGAAAATGTGTCAACCAATGTATTATCAGCCATAGATTTCGGGCACAGAATGCAATTCAGTTAATAGCAGATTTAGTTGCTTCAAGAGTTACGCAAAGTAGAGCTTTTTCTTCTTTGTATTATTTAATACTGCAGGATCATTAAACGTCAAATATATGTGGAAGTTCAGTATCATTTGGTTTATTTAATTGCAGCAAAGCATTCAAGGGTTTTCAAACTAATGGGAGAGTTTCTTTCGTGGTAGATTTTCGAAGGCAAACTAGCTTGTATACATTTTACAGATGACAAAACCACAAAAGCGCTCATGCAGCTAGCCCATTTCTTCGAAATTCGAACCCCGGTCCGAACTACCAATGTTCATCGACTTTACTATTCATCGCTGCTGGGCTAGTAGAGAAGTTAAAATCTTTAAATGTTATGTTTATCTATTTATTTGTTTACTACTAGAGCAATATATTTGGAATTAGTTGGAGACCTTTCAATAAAATAATTTCTTGCGACACTTCAGAGGTTTAGAACCCGTAGAGGCAAATAGTGTGAAATTCATAATGATTATGCAACGAATCTCATAGAAACTAATAAAGAGATAAAGAAAGCTTTGTATACAGTTTAAACCGATGAACACGTTCAGTGGCATATTTCTTCAGAAAATATCAAGTGCCTATTTAATCCACCCTTTGCATCTCATTTTGGAAGGCTTTGGGAAGCTGGGATTATGTGTATGAAATGTCATTTAAGGAGATGCCTAGGAACACGTATTCTAACATACGAGGAATTTTTTCCTTTAACAACCCAAACTGAATCTTGTCTTAATTATAGGCTATTAGAACCAGCATCAAGTGATTGCAATGACCTGACGGCTATAACGCCAGGACTCTTTCTAATAGCAGCGGCTTTGAGTTCTCTTGTAAAACCTATCCTAATTCAAGAGAAGCTAAACTACATCGATCGGTGAAGGAAGCTGCAAGGGCTGTTTACACATTTTTGGAAGCAATGGATTGGATTGGATTAAATTTGAATTATTTAACTATGGCAAAGCACACGAGGGCTATCTACCTAAAGGGAGGGATTCCTTCGTGGAGAACTTTCTAAGGGAAACTAGCTCGTATACACGTTACACATGGAGAAAACCACGAAAACGCCCATGCAGCCAGCCCGTTCGCGGGATTCGAACCTCGGACCGAACTACCAATGTTCAGCGTCTTTACCGCTCGGCCGCTGGTGGGCCCTGGAAGCAATGGAGTAGCAAGTATTTCTTTTAGGTTGCAGCAGAGACCTAAGGATGCAAGTTGTCGAAAGATGTGAAAGTTAGTGATATGGTTCTGATTAGAAACGAGAATCGACTTCCCCTACGTTAGAAATTAGGCGAAATTATTAAAATGCATCCTGGCCTGGATAGCAGTGTTCCAATGGCTCTTTTACGCACTTCTAATGGTGAAACGAAGTGACCCATAGCGAAACTATGTCCTTTACCATTCAAGGTTGGGGGTGTATTTGATGTTACACAAATTGTATTTTGAGTCACTAAGTTGAGGAACGGCGCAAATGCAAATTAGTTAGGATTATTAACAAGCGCTTGGAGTTTCCTTTGGTAGCTGTTGAAGTTCCAACAGAATAGATATTCTTTAGAGTTGCGCTCTGATGTAGAAAGGTGAAATTCGAGTTCACCGTGTGTGACGAGTCGTTGTCGTGCAGCCTGGGTGACATTTGTAAGAAGTAAATAAATGAAGTTCGGTCAAGATTACCAGCCTGTGATTTCTTTGCGCTCTGCTGATGGTGAAAAACTTCAAGTCAACGGAATACAGTCTGCTAAATACCAATGACGAAACATACAAATAGAATCTTTCACTTCATTAACTAAAATATTTTATCCCAGTTTTGTAGATCTTGCTGACCACTTGCTTGCTGTATGGTTCGTTTTCGTGTTTTCCTCCGTGCGTAATGTGAATACAGTTTCGCTTACGAAGAGAATTTAGTTTCTTTGGAACTAATTAAAAATTTCTCCATTTTGGCATGTGTAAAGTCAAATCACAAAGCATTTCTTTAAACTCCACGCTAATCTTTGAAAGCGAAACTAATAGATGATTTGAATTACGTATAAAATGCTCTGTGACATTTTATGCCCCTAATCGTGCTTCCAATCTGTTGAAGAGTGTAACACCTGGGTACCTGGGTAACGAGGTCCTACCCCTAATCGAATTATAAAAGTTTCCTAATTGATACTTCACATTAACTGGACAATAAAGTTATAATAAACTGTAGTATTAAAACTTAGTGATAATGATTTAAATATTTAAAGCTTTAAAAAAATTTTTTTTTATATCTTTAAACTGTTTAGCTGTACAGTTCGAGCGGGTGCGAGAACCTGAAGTAAAAGGAGTTAACACATTGGCAAGTACGAAAAGTTTCAGTGCTGCTAGTGAAGAATTACGATGCAATACGAGCATTTCACACACACACAGTTCGTTCTAGAGTTTATTCTCGAGTGTCAAAATGTAGAAACATTTTTTTACTCGACTTCTGATAAGAATCTGGAAGGAGGAGTAAGAGGAGTACTGTGGTAGGAGGTGTGGGAGGCGGAAAAAGAGAGTCAGGTCCGCGCTAACGGCGGGAAAAAGGGGGGGTAAGTTCAGTGTCGTTATAAGATGTAGCAGCGGGTGGCACCACAGAGTCAGTTAAGCGTGAATGACAATTACAACCTTAATTGAATGAGTCAATTAAGGTTGTAATTGTCATGTGGGTAGGATGTTACATGGGCAACGATGTTTTTCACCGGGATGCGGGGAGTGTCTGAGAGTGCTAATAAGTCTATTACTGTGAGTTTGTACTGAATAAAAGAAGTTGATCGCTAATCGTTTAATATACTCTTGAATAAGTTCGATTTGAAGGTCTCTGTGAATGTAGATGTTTGGAATATACCAAGAAGCATTGATAATTTCTCGTAAAATTTTATTTTGCAGAATTTGTAATTGTTAAATATTGGTTTTAGCTGCATGTCCCCAGATCGGACCTGCATAAAGGAGGGCTGGACGAAGTATGGAACGATATAAAATTAATTTGTTTGTAGTAGATACGTTGCTTCTTCTACCAAGAAGAAGTCGCATAGTAGCTGTGGTGATTTTAAATTTTGGTACTCGGAGCGGAAGTGGGTTCTGAAGGTAAATTTTTAATCAAGGGGACTCCAAGTATTGTTTTCATTAATCCAGTCTATTTCTTCGTCAAATATCAGGGGGTGGAGGATAGTATTTCAGGTTTTCCCACGGAAATTATTGCCTTGGTTTTATCATTGTTAATTTTAATCCTCCAAAGAGTGAGCATTTTCCAGTTTTATGAGAAGGTTTGGACTTTGGTTCTTCGGCGATTGCTGTGCAGGCTTTAGTAAGTATGGCGGTGTTATCGGCAAAGAGTGCAAGATGAACAGAAGGGTCTTTAGGGATGTCTTGTGTATAAATATTAAAAAGGTACGGCGAAAATGCCTACTCCTGTGGAACACCAGCTTTAATTACTCTGGTGGTTGAGTAAGCAGTACCGATTTTGATTCTGAATTTTTTTTCCCGTTGCTGAGGAAAGAGGCTATTAAGCGAATAAAACGATCTGGAAAATTGAGAGTGATTAGTTCTTAAATAAGGCCGCGATGCCATACCATGTCAAAAGCTTTCGCAATATTACGAGCATTTCCTGCTTCCGTGTGAAAAGGCAATATTTATTAGTAACAAAATAAATTCTTTTTACGGCTTTTGATTTTGCATCTGGTCTTCAACCATGATCCAAATAAACTCAAGAATGCTTCTTTCTGAAAGCAGATTTTGAGGACACGTTTATATGTTTTTATGATTTTCAGAATGTACGAAAGATTTTAACCTTCAGTTTCTAAAAGATCTTTATTATGATATCTAGTATGTGTGATTAGTGGTATTAATATCATATTTCTTTCTTAGGCAAATAGTAACTGAAAACATTGAAACAACTATTCGCTACCTATTTTCAGACCGATTTTTAGCTTAAATAAATACATACGGAAATTATTTTTCTGTTCTTGCATCTGGCAAGTGCTAATCATTTGATGATATTTTCGGCTGGAAAGGAGTGTTTGTTAGGAGAACCGTGAAATACCTTTTAATAATTAAAAAAGTTGTGTTCTTTCTTTTGATAATATAAATGGCAAAAATGGAGCAAGCTTTAATTTTGGATCCTCCTACTGAACTTCGTTTTAAAGGTTAATTTTTTTTTATGTACTGTAATTCGGATAGTTTGGTTATTTTTGTGTCTTATTTTAACTCTCATGAATTTAAGAATGTATGTAAATAAATCAGAATTTCTACCATTCGTTACGTGTGGATTTGTCATATGTTTTAAATACATCGCAAAAGTTTGATATTTAGTTATGTACATAAGGTAAAGGTCCAAAAGTGATTCTGGTAGAATTTCGCTGTCGTTTATTATTATAATGCTTGTATAATTTACTGTAATTAGAATTAAATAACTGCGAAAATATTCAGTAAATTAGATAATATCGCAAATTCAATTTTGAAAATTAATCGAAGTGCAGGGTTTCCCCCCCCCCAGATGTGTTTTTTTTTTTTTTTTTTTTTTTTTTTTTATCTGGAAAGCAATTCTGTAAATATCTTAGATAAATGCCAATATAAATTAATTTTTTTATATTCTCGTAGATAAGTTAAATATGCTGAACTTACAATTTTCTGTGTAAATTAATGCAGAAAAAACATTTATATAATGGCGCCTTGTAAAGCTTTAGTTAATTTACTGGTACAATAAAATTTTAATCTTAATCATATTTTAAATGAATAACATCTGTTTAAAATAAGTCTTAATTGTAATAATGAAATTTACATGTATTTTCATTATTCTCAGGAAAAAGTGTAATGAAAATCATATTATATATATAATCTTTTAACAACTTGCTTCTTATATATTCCACTTCCCCATTATGGCTCCCTTTAATGTTTCATTGTCCTTCTGAACTCCATATTGGCTTCTATGAATTTGTTGCACAATACTTGAATTCTGCAAGGTTTGCCTGACTGTATTATAAGCCTCATTTATGTTGCAAGAAAGGATTTTGTCAATGTTAAATGGAAAGGTGCACATAATATCTAGTGGGCCCACCAGCGGCCGAGCGGTAAAGACGCTGAACACTGGTAGTTCGGTCTGAGGTTCGAATCCCGCGAACGGGCTGGCTGCATGGGCGTTTTCGTGGTTTCCCCAGTGTAACGTGTATACGAGCCAGTTTCCCTTAGAAAGTCCTCCACGAAAGGCATCCCTCCCTTTAGGCAGATAGCCCTCGTGTGCTTTGCCATAATTAAATACACCAACACACCATAATATCTAGTGATGCTTGTTGCGCTATTAATACAATATTTGATGTTAAATTATCCTTTAAAATTTACTCCTCCACAAGAAAATAGCTGTGCATAACTCTTGAAAATGTTTAGCTGTTTGCCGAGTTACATTTTCTGCTTCAGATTTTAGCAGGTACTTTTTTTAAGCATTTTCTAATGCCATAACTTATATTCACAATCTAAAATCTCTCTTGTGGCCAGAATGAGTAAATGTGCACCTGCATGAAATTATGAAAATCGTAGGATTCTTTTGCGTATTTGAAATATGTACATTTTTTAGTCCTCCACCCATTCATATTATCTCTATGAAATCTGAGAAGAAATTTAAGGACAGACATATTTTGAGATCTTCAAAATTTATCTAGTCATAAATGAAAATGTAGGAACGGTTCTGAGAAAATGAAGATTGGGGTACGGTTCTAACGCGAAAAGTGCAGAATCACCCACTATTTGGCACCTTTTTAAGAATTGCACATACTCAGTATCCATGTGTGCATCGACCTATTTTCACTTAAAAATATTCCCAGAATTGCACAAAAATGACATTGTGCACTCCCTTTATTCATGTACACATCGACCTATTTTCACTTAAAAAGTCAAAGAAAATCGACAAAAATCCACTTCTTCTTACTCTTGTAAAAAGTGCAAACAATAAGTGGGCAATTCTGCACTTTACCCGTTCTAACAGTCATAATACTTAAATCTTGCTGCATATGAATTAAATGTTGTTTTAGCCACTGGTGTCTTTACATTCGTTGCTTGCTATGTATAACTTCTATAGCAAAGTTGTCAGCCGGTCATGATGCAGTCAGCTTTTTATTTAGCTGTAAGTATTTATTTCTAGTTTATGAATGTAAAATCTGCTTTCCAAGTTTTGGTATTTATCATCATTTTCTATATTTTTTGTTATTTAATTTATGAAAACATGTTTAAGGTATTCTAAATCTAAATAAATGTTATGTAATTTTTGGAAAGAGTGGGGGAAGGATCTTCTAGCAGTAATGAATGAATGCATGGAGCAAAACAAGTTTAGAACTCTGTTCCATTGGAATATAGCATGTGGTCGTACTGTCTGCAGAATTTTCCTTTCCTTGAACACAATTCTATTTTTCTTCTAAAATAATTTCTTCAAGCTCTGTAGCATGTTTTGGAATGAAAGATAGTCAGCAGTGTAGCTTGGAAAATTCATGGGAAATCAGTCCAAGTATAGGTATGTTTAATAGGAAGCTGTGTATATCATTACTTGTAAAAAGTGAATTAAAAGTACAAGATGTGAAGTTCAGTGCAGGATACCATATATTAAAAATTGTGCTGATTAAAATGAGATGCCCATGCATACGTATTGAGAGACATGTTAATAAGTGCCCCCTGTCGTGTGAATCGCCAAACTAAAACAGTAATACACGCAGCGACTAAGTGAACAGAATCAATATAAGAACTTCTGCTATTAGAAAATGGAGCACTGCTTTAACATGAAGTTTTACTTTAAATTTGGGAAAACAATGATGGAGGCTCATGAAATGATAGTGCAAGTGTAGGGTATTGAAGTAGTTTCGAGTGGTTTAAATGTGTTAGCCACATCGTTGTCAACCACCAACAAGCCCAATCTCGGACAGCATCGAACAAATGTAAATAGATGCTTGTGGATGATCGCTGACTTCCTTTGAGAATGGTGGCAGAAAAGTTAAGGATGAGCAAAGTCAGTGAAGCTTTATTGTTCAAGAATACAGTCAAAAGTCGTTAATTCGGACACCCATAATCCGGACCTCAAAGCTACAAACTTTCTGCGTATGTGCCGCGTTCACACATGCGCACAGGCGTTTACGAGAGCGCGTAAGACTCTTACGGCTGCGAATTTGTTTGTGCGCATGCGCGTTTAATGTGTAACACACTAAGCTAAAGTTATCTAATTCAGTTAATGTTGCAGATTGCGTTGTTCCTTAATCTTCGAATTGGATCCGGCTTATTATTTTTGCAGACTGTTAGAGCAATTTTATAAAAGTAAGCTTGAATTTCGATTATGTCAAATAGAATTTCCGATATATATTTACTACAAAGCGAAAGTATGTTTTGAAATCCGAAATCTGTTTATCAATTTCACGCTGCTCTGCGGCAGAGGGGGGGAGGCAGAAACGTCATTATTAGATTAGATAGATTAGAAAGATTATGTCAACTAGAATTTCCGATATATATTTACTAATATGTATTTGTACTACAAAGCGAAAGTATGTTTTGAAATCCGAAATTTGTTTATCAATTTCACGCAGCGGATTGGAAGTTGATCTCTCAGCACTATCCTTATCTTCAGGGCAGATGTTTTTATTTTATTTGGTTTATAATTCGGTACTAAGTGTAGTATTTCATTTCGATGTACTCAGTCTTTGATATGATTTAAATCAAGTTCCTGGTCATTATAATTCGCTTCCGATAGTGAAGAAAGTGACCCAGAGGTTATTGAAAACGAAAACATTTCGATTGACAAATTAGTCCGTATTCTCAACACAGCAATTATAGGACTTGAACAGCGGAACTTTGTAACTAAACAAGAAATTATGTCTGTTTATAGAATTAAAGAGAAAATATTATCACATAAAACGAAGCAACTTAAACAACTTACATTGAAGAAAATGTTTAATAAAGTAAACAAATAAATATTAAGCTTTTTTTTTTTTTTTTTTTTGTTTTTTGTAAATTTTGATACCCTTTAGATCATAATTGTTCTTTATTTCATAAATTACGGTTTCATATTTTTAATTTTAGAATTTCTGCATGCCATCTTACGAGATTTAAACTGATGATCTATAATCCGGAATCGCCGAAGTCCCGATGAGTCCGGATTAACGACTTTTGACTGTATTTGAAAATGCAGATGATTTTTGTCCATTTTGTACCACACACATTGACAGACAAGCAGAAGCAAACCTCGGATGAGAACATCTGGCAATTTCATCCACATGTCTGACTGGAATCCATAGTGTTTTTTTAAACAATCATTATGAGAGATGAGATATGATGCTACCAGTACGATCCGAAGACCAAGCGACAGTCAAGGGTGAGCGAGCGACTGATTGCCTTTTTTGACAGCAAAGGTTTGATTCATCATGAATTTCTAATCGATGGTCAATCTGTCAAAGCAGAAGTTTATGAGGGAGTTTTGAAAGAGCTGCTGCATCACATCTAGTGTGTTCGGCCAGAACTGTACTGGAGTAAACAGGAGAATTACTTCCCCGACAATGCCCGTCTGTGCACTGTGATCTTCGTGCTTAATGCAAAGTTACTGTTCTAAAACATCTTATTCTCCAGATTTTGGGCTTGCAGATACCTTTTTGTTTCCCCACCTTAAATTAGCCCTGAAAAGCTTACGCTTTTCAGTTGTGGATATGCAAAAATGCATGACCACTGTCCTTCGAATGAATCCATAAAAAGCATTTGCTGACAGTTTCCAACAGCTTTGCAATTGATATCAGAAGTGTGTTGTAGCTGATGGTAATTACTTTGGAGGTCAGTAAAGCTATTTTGTTTTTAACTCTTGTTTCCTTTATTTTGCTGGGGGACTAAATGCTGGGGGTCTTGTGACAAGCTGACCACTTGTTCAGGGCATATGCTTACGCACCCTGGGGCCCACGTTCAAGAAAGCAGATTTCGGGGCACTTCAGGCCTTGGCTCATTATGGCTGTTTGCGCCACTGAGTTTAGTTTTAGTACTCCAAAAAAGCTATCTTTTTTGCAAGCCAGTCCACTGGAAGCTTTTGTCCAACTGTTGTTTTCGTCTGGACGGATAATTTCTTTCGCTTCATGAACCTTAAACACCAATTAGGTTCTCCAACAAAATGTTTAATGCCCATTTGTTGAGCAAT